GCTGCTTCTCGTGGGCTCTGGACGTTGGCCCAGAGGAGCCTGCTCCAGGTGCCCGGCTTGTGGGCCCAGCTCCACGGGCAGGCGCACAGGCAGTCCAGCCTCGCAGCCTGCAGTCAGGGGTGAGGGGGGGCCTCTCCATCCTCGTGCCCTGGAGGTTGTGACCGTGCAGCCCACACTGTGGGCCCAGCCCTTCACCTGACCGCCTGCCTCCACGGGGAGAATGGAGAGTGCTCAGCACATGTCACCTTGACTCTGAGCCTCAGTGGGCCAGAGCACTGCTCTTGCACCCTGAAGAAGCCTCGACCTATGGTCTGTGAACTTCTACTGACGGGGTCTTCTTTTCCTTAAATAAAGAGACAGCAGTGTCTAGAGATCTTAGCGTCATTTGCCAGGGAAGTCAGGCCTTGTCCTCGAGCAGAGGATGTGTCGAGTCACCCTGCTTCCCAGGCGCCCTGGGGAAAGCTGCAGCTCAGCTTCAGGCAGATGTCACTAGCAGTCCATGTCCCAAGCAGACCCCAGCAACACATGACTGGAGACCGGCGGCTGCCACCACGGGGCAGTCACAGCTCCTATCAGGTCAGAGGGGTCGATGCCACCCACCAACACCCCGGGGCCACAGCTGCGGGTCCCCCAGTCCCCACGGGGACCACTCTCATCAGGAGTTCTCATCCAAATGTGCAACTCCACGCTCTCCAGGACCAGGACACAAGGCGCAGCGTGTCCCTGAATGAGCCTGGGAGGGAGCCCACGTGCCCCAAGGCGTGGGCCTTGGTCTCTGCATCGTCACTGCCATGACTTTGTTCTGTGTGTGCTGTCACTGGGAAGGGCCCCTCCTGGGCCATGTGGCCCTCGGAACTTCAGAGCCTGGAGAGCTGGCAAAGTCACGTTACAGGCTGGTTTATTTCCAGTTTTTCTTCAGAAAAACTTGAGCAAGGTTCTGGCTGTGTTATGTGACTTTTGAATATTTGAAATGAAAACAGGAGTGTCTGGAAGGATCGGACACTTTCACGGCTGGACCTCCCTGTCCAGGAGAAGCCAAGTGCCGGTTAGCCTGTACGGTCTCACTGATTCACCTGCTCCCACAGACACCTCGGTGGCCAGCCCCCAGCGTGGCCGCGTCATCGCTTGTAACTTTAGGGAGCAGTGTGTCTGTGCATTGAGTCCCGTTTGATTCACACTGTGTTTTGAGACTAACATTAATCAAAGCGTCAAATCATCTTTAAACTCTTTAGTTGAGTCGTTTCTCCAGACTGGTTCTCTCATCAGACATTCACGACTTGATGACCTGATGACTTTTACACTACCCTCCTTGAGGTGCTCATCAAGAGGGTGCAGTGCACCCAAGTGTGGCTCTCTCATTCAACAGAAGAGCGAGGCTGGCCACTCGGAGCACATTCTCTCTTGATGATGTATCTGTGCTTTGAACCACAGAATGCTGATTTTCAAGTTTCCTTGTTGGCTTGCAAATGACTTTCAAGGATTGGATACGGACACGGTGTCCAGGACTCCAGGTGCAGATGGGCCAGCACATGTCCAGAGCAGTGGTGCTCGACACTTGGGCGCATGCGAGGTCACGTGAAAGCCTGGGTGGGGGCCATTTGTGATGTTTTGTTCCTATTCACTTCCTCCCAAACCAGACATTGCTCCCTCCTCTCCCTCAGTGCCTTTGCTGACCCAACCCTCTGAAGACCCAAAGGGGTCCTACAGTCCCTTCTGCTTGCTGTGCATCATGCCGAGAGCGAGCCGCTGGATCTGTACTCATGTGGCCGTTTCACAGCCAAGCTTGCTGCCGGTCAGGACTGTCCAGAGTGGCCCTGCCGTGACCAGCCTGCAGCCACGCTCCCAGAGCCGGAGCCGCCACTCCACCTGGCTCCTGAGCAGAGACACCCGGCCGGCCTGGCAGAGGCACCCCACACCAGTCGTGCACAGACGTTCAGCTGCTTTACACGCGTAGCTGGTTCCAGTGTCACTGGGGACTGGGCTGTCACAGCCTTTCAGCTGGAATGGCGGCACCCACGTGTGCGTTCAAGGCGTCTCCCGCCTCTCCCTGTCCTCTGCAGACCCTGCTGGCCGCTGAGGCTCCTCCTCACATCCAAGTGCTCCAGGGCTTGGCGCAAGTTATTCAGAAAGTTTCCAAAAAGCAACTTGACCCAGACACATGTGGAGGGCGCGGCTTTCCCACACCTTTTCCCGCCTGCCCTGCTCAGCTGAGAGGGGCGCTTGCCCGCCTGGCCTCCTCTCAGTGTGGACGCTTCTCTTTTTATGGAACTTCACAGAAACCTGTCCACCCACATCTCCTGCAGGGTTCCTTCCACCCACCGTCACCCTCTCCTGGATGACACAGAGCTACCGCGCTGGCCTCAGGGTGCCCAAGAGGAAAGGCACTTTGCAGAGAGCGCCTGTCCTCAGCCGTCACTCTCGGGCGGGTCTGGGGCTCAGCCCGGCTCTCCACACACAGGCCTGCTCTCCTCCCCCCCAGCTCGGCCTCCATCTTCTGCCGACTCAGGAATGTGCTCAGGACAGTTTTTCTCCTCACAGTGGAAAGGCGTGCACCTTCCCTCCCCGTGTGGGTGTGAATGTGGTGACTTGTGGCACCTCACGGGCACGTGTGTGGCTTTCCTGGGAGCTCAGAGCTCCGCAGGACACCCGGGAACCCTTCATCAGTGCACAACAATTCCACGCAGGAGGGAAGCTGGAATGGTCTTCCCAGTTTTAGGCTCTTCCTGTTTTACTGGAACTCAACCGCACCCGTGACCAGAAGTGTCCTGGGAGCCACGGAGGACAGCTAGGACAAAGCCCATGTCTCAGGAAGGCCTGGCCGAGGACCTTCCCCTCCTCTGACTCGCCTGGCAGTGTGGGGTCCTTGGCACCCTCCAAGGGAGCCCTGGGTCCTGATGTCTGCCACACCTTCTGCAGCTCAGCCCTGTGAAGACAGACAGCCACGCTGCGACGGACTGTGCTCCTCAAACTGGCTCGGTCCCCTGCCACCGTCGCTGCTGCAGGAATGTGAGACTTCTCTGAGTCCCTTTTCCTGCTTGAGAGCACCAGGGAGATGGACGGTGGGATCTGAGTGTGGCCGAGAGCACTGCCCACAGTCCTGCGCACTTCCTGTGGATCAGTGGAGCCAGCTGGGTGGAGGGAGGCTGCAGACTCCCTCCCACCCACAACCAGGACAGAGGCGCTGCGAGAAACGGCCCCGGCTGCCAGTGCTGGCGCGGGAGGCCCTGTCCATGAGCTGTCCACACTGCTCACCTCTCCTCTGCACATGTCCTCACAGCTCTGGGTGCCCTGCTGGACCTATACTATGCAACACTGTGCAGAAAAACGTAGGCTGGGTGCAGGGACACACCACTGTAATCCAGCAGTGCTAAAGGCTGAGGCAGGAGGATCACAAGTTCAAGGCCAGCCTCAGCAACTTAGCAAGGCCCTAACCAACTTAGCAAAACCCTGTCTCAAAATAGAAAATAGAAAGGGCCGGGGATGTGGCTCAGGGGTAGAGCACCTGGGTTAAATACCTAGTACCACGGAACAAACAAACAAACTTAATAAAAGGCAGCGTTTAAATGGCCCACCTTGTGAGGAGAGTTAAGCGTGCTCACCAAGAGGCCCGATTAGGAGGGCAGGAGTCTCCAGAGGGAGAGTCACAGGAGCAGAGCCGCTGAGCACCGTGCTCCTTCCCCTGCTCAGAAGCCCCGTGGCACCCTGAATGACATGACCTGCCTGTTCCACGGCCTCAGCCCTGTTCAGGTTGGGGCAGCTCGGTCCTCATGGTAGGGCTGGCCTATGACTGCAGCAGCCCTGGCCTCCTCTCCAGACATTACCAGGTGTCCCCTCGGGGAGGAGGGCAAGGCCCCGCTGAGCAGCACTGGTTCTCACGGCAGAAGTGTCGGAGCAGAGGCCCCTAACTCGCCTGCCGCTCCTCAGGTGCAGGGCTCCTGGCTCAGCGCATCCCGAAGGCCACAGAGGTGCGGCTCACTGCATGCATGACGAGCTAGGTGCTGGGCTGCGGCCCAGCCTCCTGCACCTCTCTGCTACACCTGAAACCCACTCGGGTTCCCGGGAGAGAGACGGATGGAAGCTTGAGAACTGCTGTGGTTAACACACGTGTTGAGTGCACTCATGTGTGCCTGCAGCTCTGGATAGTTGTCAGCTTGGCCTCGCCAGCTCAGGGACACCCTCGTGAGCTCATGGAGGCCTCCCTGGCACAGAGCACAGGGAGAACACTGCCACCCTCCCTGGCACCAACTCGAGTCCAGTCAGAACCCAGATGGTCACCAGTGTGCAGGCCACAGTGGTCCCAGGGGCCCCTTCCCAGGAGCCCTGGCCTTCAGGAGCCCATTTGGTGGCTGGCTTGAGGATGCAGCCACGCCCGGCCCTGGAGAGCGGCTGGGAGCCGAGGCCTGAGGCGATTTCCATCTCCAGAGGCTGGCATGTCTCTTCCCCTGGCAGGCTGTGTAGCCAGCAGCGTGGCTGTGGCACGTGAGGCCTTGAGGAGGCGAGGAGGCCTGGGGGCTGGCCTCCACCCAGGGTTCCACCCAGGGCCCTGTCAGTGGCCCTCACAGCTCGTGCCCAGGAACGGGCATGTGCGGGGACGTCAGTCGTCTGCTCGCTCTGAATGCTTTCTCCATTACGAAAGCAGCAGCTGCTCATGCAGAGGTTCTTAGGAAAGACAAGCGGAAGAGAGGACAGGACCAGGACCTCACTGAACAACGGCCACGCCCAACATCCCACCCGTGCCGGCCTTTCCTCATGCACTCTGACCTTAGTGCCATCTCTGCTGCTAGACTCGAGGTGTTTTTGCAGTTTTTCTCTTTACAAATACATGGTGCAGACTCTCTGCAGCATCGAGGGCTGTGCCCATAAATATGGAAGCCAAATGCTTTGCTTCCTTAGGCCAGGGGTCCAGACAGGCTGGCTTGGTTGTGGCTGACGCGTGTTGAAGGTGCACCGCAGATGCCGACGGGCCGTGTGTGCCCTGACCGGGGTTCTTTCTCTTACAGCGGTCTCCTACACAAATTACAAGAAGACACCCCCTCCGGTGCCTCCTCGGACCACCTCCAAGCCCCTGATCTCGGTGACAGCCCAGAGCAGCACTGAGTCTACCCAAGACGCCTACCAGGACAGCCGTGCCCAGAGGATGTCTCCATGGCCCCAGGATGGCCCCAGCCTCTACAACTCCACGGACAGTTTGGACAGCAACAAGGCCATGAGTCTAGCCCTAGAAACGGCCGCGGCCCAGCGCCAGGCCGACGGCCAGGGCAGCTCTGTGCGGACCAGCGACAAGGCCATCCTGGTGTCCAAGGCTGAGGAGCTGCTCAAGAGCCGCTGCTCCTCCATCGGGGTCCAGGTAGGCTCCCTGCCAGCCCAGGCGCCTTGCCTAGAACAGGTGAAGGAGCGAGCTGCTGCGCGTCCTCGCGCTCACGCCACCCACAGCTGGCAGCGGGGACGGAGGGCCCAGCTGCACCCCGGCTGCGAGCCTGCGAGTGGAGGATGGGCGGCCTGGCAGCAGAGCCGGCCCCAGGGCGACCCAGGAGACGGGCTCCACACTGCGCCCTCCCGGGGCCCCGAGGGGTGCGATTGCGAGGTCACTGAACGGGTGGACAGTGTGCAGAGGAGGCCATCGTGGTGCGTAACCAGGGGGGTTTCCTGCTTAGGTCCAGTTTTTCAAAAGCTGTTCATCTCCCAAAGGGTGCTGGAAAGAGGCAGTGGGGAGCCACCCAGGCGCAGTGCTGGGTGCCGCGCAGGGCAGGTGTGACCAGGGTGCTCCCACAGGCGGCCACTCCTCTGGCTGTGGTCACAGACGCTGCGCCCATGCACCTGCTCCCGGGCGACTCACCTGCATCTGGGCCCCGGGGTCCTACCCAAGATCCCAACCCACCATGTGTGTCCCCTGAGTCCAGCGAGCTGGACTGTTGGCCTTGCCCAGTCAGCAAGTCTAGGTCATCTCAGTGCTGGCACTTGGTCCCAGGAGTTGGGGACATGGACTTCTCACTGTCCTGCTGACATCCCTCAGGGCCCCGTGGACGTGCTCAAGCAGGGTGGCTGGCCACGTCCTCTGTGGCCCAGGCCACCTTCTGCTCCTCTCTCCAGCCTGTGTCCCGGGGAGGAGGTGTGTGGAGCCGGGAGTGAGGCCCCACCCCGCACGGTGCCTGTGTGCGAGGCCTGGTGGGGACAGGCAGAGCGCAGGGGCCACTGGCCCACTGGCCTTGGTCCCCAGCCGGGTCTCCACACTGTGGCTTCATTGTTTTGTTTAGGATTCTGAATTCCCAGAGCATCATCCATACCCAAGGTCAGATGTAAGTACCAAACATCTCCAACGCCCGGCACGCATGACTTCTCTCACCTCCCTCTCTGGGTCTTCATACGACTGCTCTTGTCACTCCGTCCTGGCCCTATGTGCCAGGCTCTCCGCTGGGTGCTCCACATGGATCCTCAAGGACACGAGCCGGCCCACGTAAAGGGAAGGAGCAGGCGCTCGGCCGAGCCCCGGGCCTGGCGCTGGCCCAGGAGGGTGGAAGCAATGCACATTCCCCACCTCCCCAGCTCTGGGCACCTCATCAGAGGGACTTGAGGTCCCCAGATCAGCCAGGGGACGGCATGCTGCCCTGCGGGCACTCCCTGGTTCTCTCACACAGTGTCCTCCAGTGCACCCACCACCCTGGCCAGGGGCTAGTTCCCACTCCTGACATGCAGCTCAACAGCCCCATCAGGAAATGAGGACATGACCTCACGGGCCCATCAAGTTAGGTGGCCCTGACACCAGCCTGCCTCCTCCTGGGTCAGCTGGGCCCATGGCCACTCCAGTTCAGCAGCTGCTCCGCCCCCCGCAGCTCAGCCCCCGCCCGCAGCCGCTCACCATGGCCCTCCCAGACCAGGGTCCACGAAGGCTGGGCCCGTGCTCCTCCTCTGGCCCACCCCCCGCACCCAGCACAGTGCCTGGCACATAGTGACCTCCTAGTGAATGCTGGACAGGTGAGTGGAGGGGCGTGTGGACAGCGAGTGCTGGACAGGTGTGTGGACGGCGAGTGCTGGACAGCAAGTGCGGAGAGAGGTGTGAATGCAAGGACATGCTGGACGGCCAATCCCCCCACTGTCTGTGGTGGTGAGACAGCCACAGCTGTGAGCTCCTAACCCGGCAACTGCCAAAATGAAGTCCATGGAAAGTTAAAGGAAAGCGTAGCCAGAGACATGGAGCATCAGGACACAGAAAATAGCTGAGAGTTAGAGAAGCAGGACCAGGGAGCGCTCAGGGTCGGGGTGCAGACGTGGAGCGCGGGCACGATCAGCAGGCTAAGGGTCATCCTCGGAGACTGATGGGCACCAGAGGGACTACAGACAGTGTGGGTACGGCCCAGAGCATCCCCACTCCCTGGCACATGCTCCTCCATCCTCACAGTGACCCTGTGTTCCAGGGTGGGGAAACCGAGGGTCAGGAGGGTGAGTGACTAGCTGAGGTGCCCCCCCCAGGAAGTGGCCACTCTGCTTCCCACAGAGACACGGATTGCACAATGTCCCTGGGCCACTCCCACACCTTGGTCCCAAAGCCACCGGCCCTGCTCTGGAACCCTGAGCCTATAGAGAAGGGGGCTGGCACTCTGTCCGGCACATAACTGGACTGGCCGTACGATCTGCATCCCTCAGATGCTACGGTACTGAGTGCTCATGCCCTCAGCCTGGCACTGGCTCTAAAGTGACAGCTTCCCAGGTTCACGGGCACCACATGACACTCAGCAGCGCTGATGAATTCAGGACTTCAGCTGTGCCTCTGGGCTCCACCAGCGTGAAGTCCAGCTGGGTCCCACTCAGCCCACCCCCTGTCACGCTGTCCCCCTCCCTGCCCAGCTCAGACCAGACGTGAGCTGAAAGCCCCCATCACTCAGGTAGCCGACGCCAGGCACAAGTCCACCCCAGGGACGTGCGGAGGCCGTTAGGCCAGACGCCCCTGGGAAAAGGCAGCTGAGCTCTGCCGCGCACAGATCAGTCCCCGTGAGGAACACTGAGCCCTGGTCAGTCCTGGAACCCAGACTCGGGTGGCCCTGCTTCCCTTCCTTTGCCCTGCCTTGTTCGTCAGTCCAGGTGTGTCTGCGACAGAGGTTTGCACTTCTGTGTGTGGAGGTGTGTGTGAAGCTGTGCCCAGACTTCCAGCTGGTAGAAGCAGACTGGTTTAAGGCACAGGAGACCTGGGGTCACACAAGCCCAAGTGAATCTCTGTGTCAGCAAGGCATCACACACACCCACAGGCTGTGAGAGTGAAGGAGCCACCCTGAAGCCACGTGACCAGCCAGGTTGAGTGTCCCACGAGATGGAGGACCCTGGTCCCCACCACCCTGTCCTCCCTGCGCCCCATGTCCCCATCCTGCAGCCTGATCAGTAGCTACTTGTGCGGTGCCCAGGCACCTGGGGCAGAGAGCTGGAGAACCACACTAAACGTTGGACTTCATCAGTCTTCACAGGGGATGGCGTGAGTTCATATCAAAGCCACACACCTGCCGGGCAGAGTGCAAGACTTCAAGGGTGGAGCTAGACGGGCCGGTTGGGGAGCGACTCCAGATCTCAGCTCTGGTGAATGGCTCCAGCCGCCACCCAGGTCTGCTCTCCCAGGTCCCTGCAGAAAGCTGGGGATCCGACTGAGCTGACCAGCCGTGACTTGGCTGCAAGCCTGGTCCACATGCAAGAGGTGACAGGGCAGCTTGTCCCCCATCAAAATCACTCCATGTGTGTGCATACAGGTACACAGCACACACATCCACACACACACAGGTACATGTGTGCACGTGTTCACATACACATGAGTGCACTTACACAGATGCACTCAAGGATAGGCGCACACGTGCACATGTAAATATGCACATACATCCACGTAAACACACAGTGCATGTGCACGCCTATTCACATATACACATGTGCTCTTACACAGGGATGCAGCCAGGGATAGATGCACGCATGCACATTTACAGATGGACACACACATCCACATGGACACACCATGCATGTGCACACATGTTCACATACACATGTGTGCACTTACACAGATGCACTCAAGGTAGGTGCATACCTGCACATGTACAGATGCACACACACATCCATGTGGACACACAGTGCACGTGCACACCTGTTCACACACGTACATGTGCACTTACATAGATGCACCCAAGGATAGGTGCACACCTGCACATGTACAGATGCACACACACACATCCATGTGGACACACAGTTCATGTGCACACGTGTTGGTCTACTCATATGTCCCATGTATGCGTGGAAGAACGTACACATGCACACACTCATGCAGGGGCTCATGTGCACGTGGCAGCCCCACCAAACCCCTCGTTCTTACACAGATGGCATGTGCCAGCGTCCTCCTGCCGCCCCTCCTCGTGGCTCCAGCTCAGCCAAGGGAGAGCTGTGGTGGCCGTCCTGGGGTCCCTTTGTGAAGGCGCCTGCCAGGCACTGAGCAATTGCTTGTTAGCCTGTCTTGCATCCTCCCAGTCAGGGAGCCTTCTCTCCAATGGAGTCCACTGGAAGAGTGGTGTTGCTGATCCACCTTTCCTAAACAGCTCTCCTAGTGGTGGGTCTTGTAGAGATGAAGACCCACGAGTCTTCCAGGACTCAGAACCCACCCACTCGTCCAGCCACATTTCCTGGGGAAGACCTGGGGCTCCCTTTGCACCGTGCAGACAGGCTTTCTTCCTCTCTGCCCTTCCGGCACTTGCTTTCTACTGGCAGGACGACCCCTTTCTCCAGGGTTCTCTGAGGTTGACAGGGGTCCGGCTCCTGCCACACGTGATTTCATCCTGCTCATCCCGGCCCTTGACTTCCCAGATCTTAAGGTTCTGAGCTGTCAACTGTGCATGGCTGTCACTGAATGTCCGCGTGACTCTCCTGACAGTCCTAAAAGTCAAGGTGAAAGGACGAGGGACACCAGGGTGCAGCAAACCTCCCTGACTGGGCTTCGCCCTGTGTTTCACATCTGTCCCATGAGGTGCAGGATCTGCCTTGTTTTCAGACAAGAAGCAAAGACACAAACTCAAGAGCCTTTCCTGCCCCGGCACAGCCATCATCTGCAGAGCCTGGCCGGTTCCAAGAGCTGCCTGTCTCTAGCTCACCATAAACCACGAAATTCAAAGCCCAAAGAAAGGGGGAAGTCACGAGTGTGTGATGTGGTGTCTGTGGGTGTGGTGCTGTGTGCCCCCATGTGTCCTGACACTGCTGCTCATGGCACCACTAGGCTGCGCTGCCTGCGCCTGGCGTGAGCACTCCATGCCATGACCCACCGTACCTTGCTCCTGCCCCAGCCCGTGTTCCTGGTATTGCCCCTTAAAATGACCCCATGGTGAAGACCTCACACTTAGGTCAGAATTCAAGACCAATTTCCTTAGGCTACAACCCTAGGAGTAGATTCATGTAGGCAAAAACCCTCAACTCTTTTTATGATGCAATTATGGGCTCTTTTTATTCCAAAATCTCTCTAAAAGTACATTATCTGTGCCTTCGTTTCACCACATCATTCCTCTGTCAAATTTGGCAATATCTGCTAAAACTACTAAAGGCAATCTCCTCTGACCCCTCAGCCTGGGTCACTTCCCATGTCCCCAAGGTTTGCCCGTGTCCCCAGCACTAACGAGTCTTTACAGCAGCATCAATGTGACAAAACACCAGAAATAGCCAAGTGCCTTTCACTGAAGACTAATCAAATAAATCAGGTTACATTTCTAAGGTGGAATAATGAGCAATTAGAGCTCAAAGCCATACCACATCCTGACATGGAACTTGAAACAATAATTCTATCACGATCTTATTGTGCAAAGCCTCAATAATCTCCATGTCCAGAAAGAAAGGACGTAATGAAACTATGACCCACGTAGGACCGGAAGGAGAAGGGCATGTCCTAACAGGAAGGTTGGAATTTTTCTTCTAGAATTTTCTTCCGATAGTAAGCAATTCCTCTTCCAGTGGTCAGCACATAAATCAGGTATAGTTTCTGCATATATTCTGGAAATATGCCAGTAAGAGGCAGGAGTCCCTGATGTTCCCTCTGCTCAGGAGAACCAGCAGCTGTGGGTTCAGAGCAGGGTTCCCAGGGCAGAGCCCCAGGAGCACCCCAAGCAAGTCACTCACCTTCCTTCAGGGTTCCCCAACCGGCCCACCCGGGAGCACCAGGGTCATTGTGTGGATGACTTGCCGAAGTGCTTAGGACCCTGGGCCACACCTGGGGCACAGGCATATCCCACGAATGTGGAACCGCCCTCCGCCTCCTGCCACAGAGCCTCAGTCTGTTGGCACAGGTTCAGCCGAGGACAGTCCCCGTGACGGCAGGATATCAGAGAGCAGCTCTCCTCTGCCGGCTACTGTCAGCTTTGACTGACGCTTTCCACCTTCTCCTCGTAGCGACGAGTACAGTTGTTTTAAACATGCTTTTTAAACTTGGTTGTGGACACTTCAGATCGGGGTGTGAGGACAGGAAGGTGAGGCTGCTCCTCGGTGCCTGGAGGAGCCCTGTGGCTCGGCCAGTCTTGGCTTCACGCACTTCACATACCGAGATTCTGTGGCCGTTTTTTAGGAAAATGTCTGCTAGGATATCCTCCTGTGAAACCTTGACGTGACTGAAGGTCACTGAAGTCCATGCGGGTTGGGGGTACTTGGGGCAGGGCCACGGTTAGGGCTCTCAGGAGAAGCTTTCTCAGCTGAGTCGCTCTGGCGGTCCTAGCAGGCAGGAATGACAGCCGTGTGCAGGAGCCGGTGAGAGCGCGCCTCGTGTTGCTGACAGACGCTTCGGTCTCTGTGTCTCTGTATGTGGATGCAGCCATCAGTATGATCCTATTAAATGCTTACTGTTGTCGTTAGCCCTGCCTGGCTCGTGCTGTACTGACTGCCTGCAGTATAGGGGGTGAGAAGAGCGTCAAGTCTGTAACCATGCAGTCGACAAAGTCTGTTTTCTTCCTAAGCTGAGTGGAGCAATTTTGTTGGCATACATCGAACAGAAGACCTGAGTTCAATAGTTCCGTAAAAGTTGGTGGGACACAGTAGCAACATGATCACACCAATGTGAATGCACTTCCACTCCGGGGTCTCACTGGGTCTAGTGCATTTCTGCATTAATTAAACCAGTGCACAATTAATTACAGAAAAGAACAGCAAACATTCCCCCTGGCTCAGTTCCCGTGTTTCAGCTCTAACACGGATGCTCTGTGTTGAATCAGGTGGAAACGGCTACGGATTCGGACACGGAGAGCCGAGGCCTGCGGGAGTACCACTCTGTTGGAGTGCAAGTAGAAGACGAAAAACGGTAACTCAGCCCTTCAGGATGAGGGTGCCCCAAGCACTGCACGTGAGCCTGGCCGCCCGCCCCAGCCCACTGCCCTCTGCAGCTCCTGCCGCTCTGGAGACAGGGCCCTGCGGCAGCCCTTTGCCATTTACCTCACTGAACACTGAGTTGTCCTGCTCCTGTGTCTTGTTCCTCGGGGGCAGGGATTGACCACAAAAAAAGGGCATAGTCCCTTAGAAGGAAGAGAAGGGGCTGAGGGTACAGCACCTGCTTCTCACCTCTTCACACGGAGTGAGATCGGGCACTGAAGACCCAAGAAGGCTGTGTGGTCTGTCACCAAGAAGTTACTGCCATTGTGCAACCAGCATCCGTGTTTGCACATGTCTAGAAGAGTGAACGCTGTCAGCTACAGGAACAGGTTGATAGAGCCACACTCACACTTCAGGGCCTGTGGGCACAGTGCTGGGCTGTGTCACCTACAGGAACAGGTTGATAGAGCCACACTCACACTTCAGGGCCTGTGGGCACAGTGCTGGGCTGTGTCACCTACAGGAACAGGTTGATAGAGCCACACTCACACTTCAGGGCCTGTGGGCACAGTGCTGGGCTGTGTCACCTACAGGAACAGGTTGATAGAGCCACACTCACACTTCAGGGCCTGTGGGCACAGTGCTGTGCTGTGTCACCTACAGGAACAGGTTGATAGAGCTCACACTCACACTTCAGGGCCTGTGGGCACAGTGCTGTGCTGTGTCACCTACAGGAACAGGTTGATAGAGCCACACTCACACTTCAGGGCCTGTGGGCACAGTGCTGGGCTGTGTCACCTACAGGAACAGGTTGATAGAGTCACACTCACACTTCAGGGCCTGTGGGCACAGTGCTAGGCTGTGTCAGCTACAGGAACAGGTTAATAGAGCCAGATCTCACACTTCAGGGCTCGTGGGCAGGGTGCTGTGCTGTGGCCCTCCACCTAGTAGGTCCTGGGTCAGGAATTTCAGAACCAAAGCTAGCACCTCCCAGTTTCTAGGTAGACCTCAAAGAGCATCTGCAAACATTCCCTGTTCCCTGTGCCTCAGGCAATGAATTAAGTGGCACCTTCACTAGCCCTAGTCCCGTAGCTGTAGTCACCAGGGTCACAGGCACACAGCCACATGGTCACATAACACACACACACACACACACTTACAAAGCACAGAGTCACATGCACACACCACAGAGATAAGCACACACACCACACATACTAGAGACACACATCTCACATCCCATACTCACTGAAGAGACATACACATGCACCACACCTGCCACGCACACCACACACTCCACACAGAGACACTCACACACACACATAGTTCTCACCCAGCCATATCTAGTCTCTCATTATGCGCTGGCTCCTGCCAATCATTTCTACAACTGGCCAGGTAGAGATCCGTGTCACAGAGATACAATGAACGTGCTCCTGAAACACCTGTCAGTAAGGCTTAGGTTTGTGATCTTGCATGTGAGAGCTGATGGGGACAAGATCGAGGTGTCCCAACAGAGGGGCCACTCAAGCCGTGGAGTGGGATCTGGAAGTCATGGACACTAGGCATGCTGCAGAATGAGGCACACAGGAGGCCCTGGGGCCTCCTCCTGCATGGAGGTGCAGGTGGAAGCCAGCAGGCTCAGGCCTATTTCTGGAACAAGGGCAGATATGGAACGTGTGACCCTCATTCTATCACCCAACACCCTTAAATCTCCATGGGCACTCCTTGGGCGTGGTGGGGTGAGGGGTGCTAGAGCCGGCCACCTGCAGGTCTCGGGGCTCTGCAGAGGTGAGACAGAAGTGCGTTGGACAGTCGGGCGCCATGGTGCCCCGGGGCCCTGCTGGGCTGGGTGTGTCCTCTGCTGTCTCGGGGAAGGCTGCCATCTGTCCCCTTCTCCCCTCCAGGCACGGGCGCTTCAAGCGCTCTAACAGCGTCACGGCTGCTGTCCAGGCCGACTTGGAGCTGGAGGGCTTCCCGGGACACATCACCATGGAGGACAAGGGCCTCCAGTTCGGCTCGTCCTTCCAGCGGCACTCGGAGCCCAGCACCCCGACGCAGTACGGGGCGGTGCGGACTGTGCGGACGCAGGGCCTCTTCAGCTACAGGGAGGACTACAGGACCCAGGTGGACACCTCCAGCCTGCCCCCGCCTGACCCGTGGCTGGAGCCCTCCCTGGAGGCCACGGACACTGGAAGGGTGTCCCCGTGCCGCAGGGACGGCTCCTGGTTTTTGAAACTGCTGCACACGGAGACAAAGAGGATGGAAGGCTGGTGCAAGGAGATGGAGGGGGAAGCGGAGGAGAACGACCTCAGCGAGGACAGTAAGTGCCGGGCCGGCCGAGCAGCAGGAAGGGGAGGGCAGGGAAAGCAGTGGCCCAGCAGGGGCCGCGAGGCTCTCATGGGGCAGTGTGTGTGTGTGTGTGTGTGTGTGCACGTGCGCATGCGTGTGCCAGGGCTGTTCTGTTTGGCTGGAAGCTTGAACCAGAGATGGTCGGTGCCGGTGCTGCTCTTGAAGGATGGTTCTCTCCCTGCTGCTTACCGATTCTGTTGAACTTGGAGAATGCTGTGACTTGACCCCGTTGATAAAAGCCTGCAGTGGGGGGCAAAGGGTCAACTCTCAGCTCCAAGGAGGGGCTCTTGCCATTGGGTTGCTGGAACTCTGATGTCCCCAGCCACGGGTCTCCAGTGCAGACCTGTCCCCAATACCCTGTGCTCACCCAGGCCTCTGCTTCCTTGGAAAGAGACAGCACCTGACTCTCAACTCATGCCCCACCCACCTCGCCTCCGTCAAAGAAACCATCCCACCCCCCACCCGCAGGGTCAGAGAGTGGCTGGGAGCAAGAGGAGGTAGGAGGGGGAGGAGAGTGGGCTGGCCGATTCAGAAGGAGACAGTGGTCGCCAGGCCTCCGCCCCATCCATAGCCCCATAAATGTCAATGAAGCTTTATTCTGACATCATTGGAACTTACGCCTTTCGGGAAATGTTCAATACATTCTGCTCTGGCTTTGAACATGGCCATTGCTATATCCGTAAGACAACAGAGAGGCACTGGCTGGGCCATTCTTCCCCACACCTCCTGAATCCTCTAATTTTGATCCCTTGCCTTGGATTATGGTTGTTTTAAAAGATCCTTTTATAAAAAGGACACCACTACGGCAGAACTTACTGAAGACTGCTGCGCACCAGGTGTGTGCGAGTGCTCACCCAGGCGCTCAGGTGCTCCTGCCCCTGAGGTGGACAGATGTCACTGCCAACACGGCAAGGCAGGCACTTGAAGCCATGCCCCAAATGCACCACTATTCTTGGAGCCAGAGCTCAGTCTTGAGTGGTGCTGTCTGGCTCAGGGCCATGCTGCTTGGCCCTCAAAGCTACTGAGTCAAAATGCTCCGTTGCCGAGACTCCCCCTCCCCCCCTCCCCCTCCGCCTCCCCCTCCCCCTGTGATGCCTCCTCCCTCCCAGGGTTCTCGGTGCACCTTCCTCTTCTTCTTCAGAAGACAAGGACCCCCTCCCTAACCACAGCTTCCTGTGATCCACCCATCTGCTCCAGAAAGTCCCACAGACTTGGGTCCCTGAGCCTGAGCCATGGGAAATGTGGAGGCGAAAGTCAGACAGCAGTTCTTTCTCGCAGTAAGGACCAAGGACTGCAGGAGGCTTCCTCGGTACTGCAGCACAGGGCGGCAGGAGGGGCTCTGGGTGATGCCAGGACCGCTGCATCTGCTGGGCCAGCTTGGCCTCCACCGGACCCAGGTCAGCAGTGGAGCCATCATCCCCGGAGGAAGTGTGCAAGCTCCCCGGGTGCTCACCGGGTGCCTGACGGGCTCTGACTGAGCCCCTACCTGCACTTGTTTCCCCAGGCGGGTTTTAACTGGTTAACGTCTTCTGGGCTCTCGGGGAGGTGCACACTCAACAAGGGTTGAAGGAAGACTCCTTGTGGGAAGCCACTCTGCAGCGAGCAGGACGCAGCACAGAACCTGACCTGGAGGAAGGCCCCGCCCAGAACCTCAACACGGGAGAAAGGAGACCAGGAGAAACTGTCCGCAGGAGTGCAAGATGCCAGCGTCGTCAGGAAGTGCAGACCCGGTGCCTAAGCCTCAGAGATGTGAGGTGTTCTTAGGTGGGGGAAATGTCCACGTGGTTTCCTGGAGCAGGTGGCTCTGTGAAGGGCTCTGAAGGACAGCAAGGTCTGCTCAAGCAGGGCAAGGCAGGACAGAAAGAGATTCAGGGACAGGCAGAGGCACAGACCTGGGGCTGGGACCTGTCGCCTGCTCTTCAAATATCGCCCTTCACCACCAACCGACAGAGAGGCTGGCTAGGTGCCTCCTCAGAGTCCATGTGGCTCCATTCGCCTGGACCAGGGAGTCCCAAAGGACTGGACAGGCCTCGGTGATGGGCGACATTGGCCCCTGAAAGGCACTGAGAGTGGGGGGTGCATGGTCACTCCAGTGGCCTGGCACACAGCACCCTGCTGGTCAGGAGCAGTCCAGGCCAGCAAGACAGACACACTCGTCACACCTGGTGGAACCACATCTTCCCAGATCCCAAGGAGTCACCCCTTGTCCTTGGGCATGGGGCTGCAGTGTCTGTGCAACCTCATTCTACAGATGTCAGGTAAGTGACCTCCGTTCTGTGGTTCTGTGCCACTGCTATCCAACTGCGGAGTATGACTGCACTGCTGTGAGCCTGGGAGACTGGGTACTCTGGGACCTCCTCCATGTCTGCAGTCTTCCACTTCAGGCCGGCAGAGGTGACAGGAGCGCGTCACATCTCTCATCGGCATGCTTAGCACGTGAGGCTGGCACAATATTAATCAAGTTCAGATATCTCCCTAATAATTTTTAGAAGGTAAGACAACCTCCAATTCTAGTCCCAATTTTAGCAATAGATAGAGTCATTGGTCTCAGCACTTTTAAAAATAAAGATTAAATTAAATGGCTTATTAAACCAAAAGTCTGATCACTAAATATTGAAATTTCCATTGCATGATATAATTCTCACCCAACTATAATTTTATGATCACAGTTCACTGAACTGATTGAAGGAATCTAGATTTGTCTAATCCTCTGTGCCTAATAAAACACCAAATGCAAACGGGTTTACATCAAGTCCTAGACTCAGGCCTCGTTGTCAGTACCCAGGGCAAGAAGTACTGAGGAGACAGGAACGTGGAGACCAGGTGCCCTCTGGTGGGTTGCCACCAGGTCCACATTCGCCCCATGCGCTGGGATCCACCACTGGCAGGGGTCCGCAGGAGGGTGAAGCGCAGCCCTCTGAACAGTGTTGCCGAGCCTCCCGTCCTGAGCAGCTCCCGCAAGGGCTAATACCCGACATGTCTGCCCAGCCGAATGTCGAGAGCCAAGAACGAGCTGAGAGGACCCTGGCACTCATTACCCAAGGCTCCTGAGACTACCAGGTGCCTCGGGAACTCAAGCCACCCCAACACCAGAGGGGGTCAGACACAGGGCACTGGGTCTCCAGGCCATCTTACGTGGGGAAGCGCAGCCGTCTCTGGAAGGGAGTGCCCAGCTGTGGTGGACATGCACACAGGGCAGACCTGAGAGGGGAGGAAGCACGCACTCGATGCAGGGTTAGCCAGGTGCACTGAAGAGGAGCCAGGCCCACACAGACGGTCCTCCCCAGCAGAACACATGGCCACGCGCACAGCCAAGATGGCCAAGCGCACAGTGTGCTTCCAGATTCCCAGGGGGCACGGAGCGCAGCCTGCGTCCACCTTGTGGATCCAGCTGTCGAAGCCCATCCCGTGACACAGCAAGCTCTGAAGATGCCCCCTGACACCCCACGACCAAGCAGCCCTGGGAAGAAGCACGCCCGGAAACCAGGAGATGAGGAGGCCTGAGGGGCAGGGGCTTCTGGGAGCAGAGAGTTTGTGAGCACAAATGGCCACTTCAAACTCTGCAGATCCTATAAAAGTCCACTTCAAACTTTGGAACATGAGAGTAGTATAAATATTGTCCTGATGCTTCATAGCAAAGTAACACAACTGGAAGAAAAATCAACTAAAAGAGCCAGTACGTCAATCAAGTCTCCGTAATCCAAGGCAGGGCTGTCTCTGTCTCTGTAAATCTCTATTCCGGGGAGCACTTGTCCTTACCACAGCTCCAGAGAGGAACCATGGCTACTTGGTGGCAAAATCAGGGAAGGACAGGGGAAAAGGAAAAGTTGGATTTTCACTTCAAACTCCCTGCCGCAGTAGGAAGCCATCTACACTATGGGTAACAGAGTCCTTCCCGAACCCCGAGCCATGGCGTTCTGCCGCAAGTGATCAGGCCGTCAGCCGCTCTGTCCAGCACTCCTGCTCTCCCCTGGCCACATCCAGTTAATACCTCTATAACACCTCTCCACTACATTAAATCAGTGCCAAGACATCGCCGTCTATTCACATTGTGCTAAAGACTGTAAATTGAAGTGCTTTCTATCAGTGCTCCAGCAGAATTCCACTGTAAGAGAAAGTCATGCTTCGAATTTTATCAACCCAACTGACTGTTTAATTACAGGCTGAAGAAGCAGGGTCCGTCAAACAAGTGCCCTACACCCTGCTTCTGCACTCGGCAGGACAACTTGACTACAGCAAGCCCCTTAAACCTTCGCCAGTTACAAACCGGAAGCTGCTCCTCTCAAGAGCAGCGATGGCCCCCGCTGGGCGCCAGCCAGGTCAGGCCGCCAGGGCTAGCTCGGTTCTATACCAGTGTGCCAAGGAAGAACAATAGGCCCTCCCCTTGCAGGCGCCACCCCCAGCCGCCTTGCTCTGCTGCTGTCTCCACATGCCTCTCCCACAGCCTCTCCAGGTACTTGGTGCAGGGTCGTCATCATGCTGGGCAGAGAATCAGAGGACAGGCAAAAGAGAAGACCAACGGGGCACCAAGGCCAGCGAGATGACAGGTCTCCATGCACTTTTCTCAAAGCCCAGGGAGTGGCATCTCCTCGAGGTCACAGGACCTCCTGGAGCCCAGATGACCTAGGAAGTGCTGACAGTGCGTTCTGCCCCGCGCTCTTCTCCGGCTCACCTCAGCACCTGCACTAGAACACTCTCCTGCCCACAGCAGGGTCCCCACAGGCAGCCCCCCTTACCCCAGGGCCCAGGAGCAGAGGCTCCAGAGCTGGCCCCTGCCTGTCCTCCAGCTTTCTCTTAAGCTGGAAGGGAGCCGGCCGTCAGTCTGTCTCCTCAGGGGCAGGAGCTCCCACAGGCAGGCGCGAGGGCTGTGCCCTGGCTGACCGGCCTGACCTGCCCTGTCTCTCACAGCTCTCGGGAAGATCAGGAGTGCCGTGGGGAGTGCCCAGCTGCTCATGTCGCAGAAGTTCCAGCAGTTCTATTGGCTGTGCCAGCAGAACATGGTGAGTGGACCTCAGGTGGCCCGTCCACCTAACAGCTGACGCATGTCCATCTACACACACTCACGGTCTCCTCATCTGCTAAAGCATCTGTGTGCAGGGGGACACTGGGTGAGTTCATGAAGAGGGGGCTGGCTGGCCCTGGTGACCTACACTCCACTCCTGGGACACAACCCTATCCCTGGGGACTCACACCTCATCCCTGGGACTCACATTCCATCCCTGGGACTCACACCTCATCCCTGGGACTCACACCTCATCACTGGGACTCACACTCCATCCCTGGGACTCACACTCAATTCCTGGGACTCACACCTCATCCCTGGGACTCACACCTCATCACTTGGACTCACACTCCATCCCTGGGACTCACACTCCATTCCTGGGACTCACATTCCATCCCTGGGACTCACACCTCATCCCTGGGACTCACACTCAATTCCTGGGACTCACACCTCATCCCTGGGACTCACACCTCATCACTTGGACTCACACTCCATCCCTGGGACTCACACTCCATTCCTGGGACTCACATTCCATCCCTGGGACTCACACCTCATCCCTGGGACTCACACTCAATTCCTGGGACTCACACCTCATCCCTGGGACTCACACCTCATCACTTGGACTCACACTCCATCCCTGGGACTCACACTCCATTCCTGGGACTCAAATTCCATCCCTGGGACTCACACCTCATCCCTGGAGACTCACACCCTATCCCTGGGACTGTCACCTCATCCCTGGGGACTCACATTCCATCTCTGGGACTCATACCTCATCCCTGGGACTCACACCTCATCCCTGGGACTCACACCTCATCACTGGGACTCACACTCCATCCCTGGGACTCACACTCCATTCCTGGGACTCACATCTCATCCCTGGGACTCACATTCCATCCCTGGGACTCACACCTCATTCCTGGGACTCACATTCCATCCCTGGGACTCACACCTCATCCCTGGGACTCACATTCCATCCCTGGGACTCACACCCTATCCCTGGGACTCACACCCTATCACTGGGAACTCACACCCCATCCCTGGAACTCACACCCCATCCCTGGGACTCACATTCCATCCCTGGGACTCACACCCCATTCCTGGGACTCACATTCCATCCCTGGGACTCACACCCTATCAGTGGGAACTCACACCCCATCCCTGGGACTCACACCCCATCCCTGGGAACTCACACCCCATCCCTGGGAACTCACACCCTATCCCTGGGACACACACCCTATCCCTGGGACACACACCCTATCCCTAGGACTCACACCCCATCCCTGGAGATTCACACCCTATCCCTGGGAACTCACACCTCATCCCTGGGAACTCACACCCCATCCCTGGGACACACACCCCATCCCTGGGACTCACACCCTATCCCTGAGACTCACACTCCATCCCTGGGGACTCACACCCTATCCCTGGGACTCATACCCTATCCCTGGGACACACACCCCATCCCTGGGAACTCACACCCCATCCCTGGGAACTCACCCCCCATCCCTGGGACACACCCCCCATCCCTGGGACTCACATCCTATCCCTGGGACTCACACTCCATCCCTGGGGACTCACACCCTATCCCTGGGACTCACACCCTATCCCTGGGACACACACCCCATCCCTGGGAACTCACACCCCATCCCTGGGAACTCACCCCCCATCCCTGGGACACACCCCCCATCCCTGGGACACACCCCCCATCCCTGGGACTCACATCCTATCCCTGGGACTCACACTCCATCCCTGGGGACTCACACCCTATCCCTGGGACTCACACCCTATCAGTGGGAACTCACACCCCATCCCTGGGACTCACACCCCATCCCTGGGAACTCACACCCCATCCCTGGGAACTCACACCCTATCCCTGGGACACACACCCTATCCCTGGGACACACACCCCATCCCTAGGACTCACACCCCATCCCTGGGACTCACACCCTATCCCTGGGACTCATACCCTATCCCTGGAGACTCACACCCTATCCCTGGGACACACACCCCATCCCTGGGAACTCACACCCCATCCCTGGGAACTCACCCCCCATCCCTGGGAACTCACACCCCATCCCTGGGAACTCACCCCCCATCCCTGGGACTCACACCCCATCCCTGGGACTCACACCCCATCCCTGGGAACTCACACCCCATCCCTGGGAACTCACACCCTATCCCTGGGACACACACCCTATCCCTGGGACACACACCCTATCCCTAGGACTCACACCCCATCCCTGGGACTCACACCCTATCCCTGGGACTCATACCCTATCCCTGGAGACTCACACCCTATCCCTGGGACTCACACCCTCTCCCTGGAGACTTACACCCTATCCCTGGGACTCACACCCTATCCCTGGGGAGTCACACTCCATCCCTGGGACACAGGCTCCATTTCTGGGACTCACACTCCTTCTTTGAGGACTCACATCCCATCTCTGGGGACTCACACCCCTTCCTGGTGCTCACACACTCAGCCTGAGGGCTCACCCCTCTGCCCTGGTGTCAGCAGGCAGCCAGGGTGGAGGCCTGAGGGGCATGTGACAGGAAGCTGGAGTCTTGGGAGTATGTGTGAGGCTGTGCCTCTGCCCCTGGGGTGTCTCCCAGAAGCCCTTAGAGGAGGAGAGGAGAGGTGAATTCCTCTGTGGCCAAGGCCTCAGTAAGGAGGACGAATCTGAGGCTGGAGTGGAGAGGCCTGCCCCACCGTGTTGGAAGAGATCAGGACGAGGTGGCAGGAACAAGTCAGCCCCCACTTGTGCAGTCACTAGCAGTCTGCAGGAACTAGATGTGTGCCTGCAGCAGCACCAAACCCGGTTCTCTTGGCAACCAAGGGAAGGAAAAGCCACACGTGTGTGACACAGTGCACACGCACAGATTGATACCTGCTCCATACACACATACACATCTGTGCACGCTTCTCCAGAGCTACCAGTGTGCCCAGCTATCAATGTACCCACGCACGCTAATCCATAGATGCTAATATATTCACGTACTCTTCCTGTTTGCACACACACCTACATACTTTTCTAACTAAATGAAGTGTTCACCTATTGTATGGTAACCAGATGAATAGTGTCCCTGACTTCCTAGGCAGCTTTGCGCTCTGCCCACTGACTTCCAGGAGGTGAGCTGGTCCTGGCAGGGCACGGTGTTCCTCTTGCGGGGTCTTGATTGCCGGCTCACCTGGAGACACTGAGTAGGACATTCCCACCAGTCAGAGGCAGGGCACCTCCAAGCTGCCCACCCCATCTTTTAATCAGGACCCTTCAGTGTGTTTTCTCTACGTTCTCCGAGTTGCCCATTAAAGTTCATCATAAGATGTAGAGTTCCCAACATGTCACCTGTGGCATTAAGTTTAGTGGACACTTAAAAAGCAGAGTGGGAGGTTTAGAGTCCTCAAAGATACAGGCTGCTGGGTAAACGCTGGCCTCCAGGTGTGTCCATCACCCCTGCCCTGTGCCCCCCACCCCCCACTATCTTTAAAGGCAGTGGCTAAGCCACCCAGGAACTTTGTGTGCTGTGCAGAGTTGGGGAGGCCCCAAGAGCCCCCAGGAGCACGTGGTTCACCCACCCCATGTAGGTCAGCATCCCCTCAGCCTGTCAAGGGCACAGTCCTCTCCCCCAGAGCAGCTTATGCCAGCCTTAAAACCACTCACCCTAATATCTTTGCTGCCTTTTGAGATTAGAAATGTCGGGTTGAGTCCCTCCTTCTCTTTGGGCTTCTATCCAGGATTAGCACAAAAGAGCTCTGAGCCCTCTTGAGGCCTGGCAGGAGAGACCCGCTGAGAGCAGAAGCAGGTGCCATCGGAGCACATGGCCCAGGTTACAGGAGCAGTGCTCGTGGCAGGCAGCTTTGGGCAGGTCGCCGAAGTCAGGACCCCAGAGAACGCCAGGACCCTCCTAGACCCTTAGGAGGAGCCCCACAAAGCAGGCACGTCTCCAGCGAGGCTGCGTAGATGACTGGAGGCTGAGCTGCCCGCCACGCAGTAAGGAACAGAGGCGCGCGGGGCATGGTCCGTGGCCGCCCTCTAGTGGTTCAAAGGAAGAACACTCACACAGCAGAAAGCAGCTCTGGATCTTGCTTGGGTGGGAAAATCCCAGGGGAAGTGGGCAGCTCTTCTGACCCTCTGCCCCTCGCTGGTAGCACAGGCTGCCATCTGCTTGCACATGACAGGAGGGATGGTGCTTCAAACGGTCATTTTGACACGACGTCAAGCCAGTTTAGAGGAACTGCAACCTGAGTATGTCGTGATCAGTGCAGACTACCAAGAGCAAGCTGAAAACTGCACCCTTTAAGCAAATTCAGATGAATGTCTGGTTGCTTAAGGCGCCAATCTGAGCTGGCCTCCCACCAAACCAGGTTGCTCTGCTTCCCGGGCAGACACCACGGGGCACTGGGCAGAGGGACACAGCCCAGGACCACCCAGGCCTGGCCTTCCAGACGAGGGACCGTGCCAGTGAGTCCCCCTGTCCCTTCAGGAGCCTTCCTCACCTGTGCTCCCTCTACTTAGGAGTAAGTCAAACACATGTTTCATCTGTAAGATGTCACGGACCCTCAGAATCTGAGCTAAGATCCTTCAGAACAAGCACCAGCAGACCTGGCTCCAGCCACCCTCCTCCCACCTACCACCTCCACCTCTAGCCCAGCAGATGAGCCAGCCCACCGTCCCTTCTGGTAGTCACTGGAGACCAGAACTTGGGCCCTGTTGTGTGTGAGCTGCAGAGGGCTCGAAAGGTTTCCTCTCTGCCCCGGCCCCAGCGTTTTCCAGGTGTAACAGGGAAGGGATCAGCTACCTGTGTCTGGACCTCCACCCCACCCAGGTGCTAAGGGGGCTTCCACCAAAGGCGGGGAGCCTCCTCAACACCTGCACCCCCAGAGCTGGGGCTCGCCTAGCTGAGTCCTTGAGTTGCACCGGGGAGGAGCAGCCCAGCACGTCCCAGGCTCTAAACTCCCCATGTGTCCACAGGACCCCAGTGCCATGCCGAGGCCCACCTCCCAGGACCTGGCCGGCTACTGGGACATGCTGCAGCTGTCCATCGAGGACGTCAGCATGAAGTTCGATGAGCTCCAGCAGCTGAAGCTCAACGACTGGAAGGTGGCAGAGTCGCCAGAGAGAAAGGTTCGTGTGCTGCACTGTCCCTGCAGGCTGTAGGGTGGCTTCCTGGCATCTAGTCCAGTATAGAAGCGTCCACTCCCACCACCATGTGGAGCCAGGTCTAGGTTAGCAGCACAGGGTGGAATCAGTCCCGTAGGTCTATGTGCACACGCGTGCATGGGTGGGACTGGTGGCTCAGGCATGTAGGTCACAGCGTGCTCCTCCTGGCACGTGGACAGCTCCAAGGCCCCGGCCGGATCCCGTGCAAGTCAGCAGTCTCACTCCTCCCAGGGATTAATCCTCCAAGCTTTTCTTGCTTAGACAGTGGTACTGTGACGATCCCTGCAGGGGAGGCTGCAGGCCCGGCTCTGTGGGCTCCTCTGCAGTGAGGCCTTTGGCTGTGTGTCTAGTTGGAGGCAAGACAGCACCTTGGGCCTCACCAGACAGATGGAGGGTGCATTCTCCATGGCTGTGTCAGCCTTAGTCCTTCAGATGGGCTGGCGATGTGACTCAAGTTACTTGAACCTGGGCCTGCTTCTTCAGGATGGAGCAGCTCCAGCAGAGCCCGGGGACGATCAGCTGGTGACGCGTACAGAGACATCCCGGCACACTTCAGGCAGGGTTCAGGTTGCTGTTTCCAGATAGATGTTGTCAATTAAAACAAAGCCACCCAGAAAGCCAATGCAGCATGCCTTGGGGAGGGGTGGAACACACAGATGAGGACAGTCAGCTGAACAATTAGAGCAAATGCATTGGGGTCCTCACTGCCATCTAAATCCCCCCAAAGGTGCCAGGGCCAGGTAGTGGGGTTCCAGGCCAGATGCCAGACATAGATGCCACCAAGGACAACAGACCAGAGCTCTCTTGTCAGATTACAGAGGGTCAGGGGTGGCATGGGTCTCGGAAGCCTCAGTGAGGTAAGCAAGTCCAGTGAGCCGTGGCCTGGGGTGAGATAAAGGAGGTACCAAGGGCTGAGCCCCGGTGGGAGGTTGTTCTAATGGAGACCAAACAGAACCTTTCTTGTATTTACTCCTCTGTAATCGAGAGCTAGCATGAGCCCATTTTCCAGGGTATTCAGAGAACAGCTCCCCAGTAAGAACCAGCTCCTGCTGAGGACACAGCGCCCCTGTGCAGACGTAAGCTGCAGGTACCCCCCAAAGAGAAGCCCTGCCCCTCTGAGTCTTCTTGCAACGGGGCCTGGCTCTGCAAGGCCTCCTGATCCCCTCCTCACCATAGCAGGCCTTGGAAAGGGGGACCACACAGGGAATGCGCTCCTCACGGGGCCATTCAGAGGCTGCCCAGAGAAGAGGGAGGAGTGGGGTCCTGTCCTGGTGCAGGAGGTACGTTTTAAACAGCTGAAGGGTCTTAATGAGGTAGCACACACAGGAACCAAGTCAGACAGCACAACAGCTCTCTCCCACCACACCCCGAGGGTCAGGCGCACAACCGTGCCACCCTTTCCCCGTGTCCACCGACGTGGCCAGAGGAGCAAGACACAGTGCTCCCCAGAGTCAGGGCGACTGTGAGGTGGAGCTGAGGGCTGGGGCCCCTCTTGTCTGTGCTCTTCCTGGAAGGAGACCCAGGAGGCAGGAGCAGGGCACACTCAGGAGGAAGTGAATCAGGCCCCAGAGGACCGGTGACCCAGGGCCCGGACAGCAGTGCTCGGTTCTGACCTCAGCTTTGACTTTTGATGCTTTTCAGGAGGAAAGAAAAGTCCCCCCTCCAATACCAAAGAAGCCCCCCAAAGGGAAATTCCCCATCACGAGAGAAAAGTCCCTGGACCTGCCCGACAGACAACGCCAGGAAGCCCGGAGGCGGCTCCTGGCGGCCAAGAGAGCGGCCTCCTTCCGACAGAACTCCGCCACGGAGCGCGCCGACAGCATCGAGATCTACATCCCCGAGGCCCAGACCCGGCTCTGAGGAGGGGCAGCCCCCTCGGCTGCTCCCCTGGACAAAATGCTTGTACAGTCTCTGCCGACCGACCGGGTAGTTGTCTCATCCCTCCACCGAGTACCCCCTTGCTGTTGTGTCCTTGGTACCACAGACACGGTGAACGCTTCCCCTGTCCTCGGTTTGCTGAGCTCTGGCAAGAATGACCTTTGCACCTGATGGGCTGGCTCCCAGCTCTGATGCTCGGCCTGGCGAGGCCTGGCTCCCTCTGGCCCTCAGAGGACATGCCTCTCGAGACGGAACCCAGCTTACACTTTGTTACTTATATTTTTATAAATCGTGTGATGACTAGGTAAGGACAACAATGACTACAAATGGGTATCTCACCACTCACGAGAGGCTGTAGACACCCGTGGAAGGTGCTACAACACCAAGCGCAGGAAAGAGACCCATTTCCCTCGCCGACCTCAGGTCACTCCCCCGAGCCCAGCTGACCTCGCCCTCACTGCCACCCCGTCCTGCTGCCACGGGCAGAAGCATAGGTTCCCCGTGTGGGTCCTTGGTGATGGGAAGGGGTCCCTCCAACCCCCAAGCTCCCCACCCTGTGTTCTCCAAAGCCCAGGAGGTTCCGAGTCTGAACTCTAGAAACGCCCGGCTCAGCACCTACACATTAAAAACTAAGCCCGACATCCCTCCCCGAGGCTGTGAGGTACAGGCAGGGACGGAGCTCAGAGAAGGCCCGAGGGAGGCAAGAAGAAGCGCCCGCTTCCGGAGACGTCATGGCATCTTTATTCCTTTGTGTCGCAAAACTCAGAGCACCCTCTTCACGTCACCACTGACACCACAAGTGATTTCTTTTACCTGTGTAGATCATTCTCAGATTGCTCTCTCAGTTGACTTTTCCAGGGTGTCCTTAAAACAAAAACAAAGTTTGCTTGTTTAAAATGACAGTTGTGATGTTGTGAAAAGTATAGGGGTATGAATGTGGGTGGTAAGTATATCGCAGTTTAACTGGTAAAGAAGAAATGTAGTTGACACTTGTATCCTTCCAGAACTCTCTTGTCCTATGCAGTATACTTCTTGCCTGTGGTAGACATGAAGAGGGAAAGGGTCATGTGTGGTGATGTCCCGCTGTGGAATTTAAGAGATGGAATTAGCTGGCAGGACTCTGATGGGCACCAGAGTGTAGCAGCAACTCTGGTCAGTGGGCCTCCGTGTGCAGCTAAATGCAGATACAGTGGTGGCCGCTGTCGCTAATGGCCTTCTGAATCCACTCGGGCGCTGTAAGTGAAGACCCATCAGAGTCCCCACTGGACCCCGACCTCAGAGCTCTCGCACTCCTCCGGGCTGCAGGCAGGATGGCCACCTAAGACGTCTCCACCCGAGCGCCCGGTCTCCTGCTCGCTGCTGTGGGGGGCACCGTGCTCAGCCATAGAGGGAGCGCTGTGGAGGCCCCCTAGCACTTTGTTTTCCCCTGACTCGCACTTTAGAGCCTGACCCTGGTGTCGCTGCGTGAGGCGGCCACACGGGCGGGGCTTCTGGAAGACTGCACTGTCCTCTTCCTGGTAGTCCACATTCCACTACGCATGGGGTTCCCTGGGCGCAGCTGATATCAAAGCATGTTGAGCTGCAGAGTTTTGCTTTTTTAAAGCTGAGTAGTTAAGAATTCCCTGTAAGAACAAAACCCTGTAAGGTGAGCCTCAGATCTGGTATATGTTTTACCAAACAGCCTTAAAATATATTTGGAAGCAAAAATCAGTACGAATGTATATCCTTGAAAAATGCAAAAAAAAAAAATTCCCTGAAATATTCTTCTATAACTGAATCCTATTTCCCCAGTGTTCAAAGCGTTTTCTACCTAAATAAATACCTAAATCCTGAACAGTGTACAATAATGATGCTTCTTCCTATATTCACTAACTCTGTTAAAAGCAAGTGTCTTTGTAAGTATTAGCCTTTTAGACTTTAAAAACCATGTGCCATCTCAGAGAAAGTGCCATTTAGAAGTAACCACAGACAAGCAGAATCGATGTGCACTCCAGATGAAGGACACTGAATGCCACCTGCAGGCCCCGCCCACCAGCATCTCCTGGAGGCCACCAGCCTTCTATCACTCAAAACACACAGAAGTGGGTCCTCGCACTAGCGGGTGACGGTCTGGCTGAGATCCCTGCTGCTATGACTCCTGCCTGAGTGAAGTGTGCCCTGGACTTGGGTTGATATCATGTTCCCTCGACTCCTTGCTACTGGATAGTCTCCAGAAGCCTTGGCCTAACATCCCCCATGGGCCAGTTGGGCTGCCACAGTGGTCAGGGGCTGGAAGAGGAGAACGTGCCCCTGTGTGGTCTTCGAGGCCCCAAAGACGAGGCCCCGGCGCACACACCTACTGCTGGGCCTGACCCGGGGTGGCCTGCTCACAGTCCCTGGTGAGTGCAGGACTCATGCAGGTGACTTTCCATCATGGACCCAGAAGAGAAGCTGTATTTGTGTGTTGTCCACATGAAGAAGTGAGACTGCTGGTGTCCCCGGAACAGAAGGCTCACAGCGTAGGGGTCCCATGGTGTCTTCCCTCCACGTTTAAGACAGTACTAAGGAAAGACTGAAGGTGGACGGAGAGCACTGCTGAGGACAGCCCGGGCCACGTTCCAGGAAGCTCACGCTCTCAGGGGCCACACGCCTCGCTCCTGGAGGGCAGCAGCCGCTGGGAGGCAGGGCGAGGAGCCCACACCAAGGCTGGTGGCGCTGCGCTGAGCCTCGGGGACTCCCAGAAACTCCAAGAGGCAAGACTCCACAGGTGGAGTAGGACCAGCAAGCAGAGGGCAAGTGCCCGTGAGTCCCCGTGTGGCCCGGGCGTCGTCAGCACAGTGGCCAACCAGTCTTCCTTAGATCACCGTCCCAAGAACGTGGGTGATGCACCTGGCCGCACGTGTGGTCCACGTTCCCAACTCCAATCCAATCCTGAAGATTTCACACATTAAAGGAAGGCATACTACCAGAAAAATGTGAGTCGCAGCCAGGTGGCCTCTTTTTCAAACTAAAACAAATGTAAACAAGATCCGTGGCCTTCACAGTAGAGGGGTCTTTCCTGGCTGGCCCATGTGAAGTGGCCATGTCTGGGGTAGGTGACACTTGTGGAGCACACACGGCTGGGTGTGCTCCTGGGTTCTGGGCTCCCGGGTCCGTCTTGGTCTCTGCCTTCTGCAGGCCCCACTTCAGCTCTCAGATGCTGCTACAGGACGTCGCCCTCTCTGCAGCCTGGGACTTGCCAGGCTCCCGCCCCAGCCCAGGATGGAAGGCCTCTGCTAAGCCCCAGCTATTGCAGAGGCCCTGTCCTCCGCAGTGACTCCAGTGTGCTCTCCGCAGGAGCAGCTGGCTGGTTGGGGCCGAACTTTGATGGTGAGCAGGGAGCCGGAGAGAATCTGTGCGCAGTGGTGCCCTCAGACTCCAGCTGCCCTCCTGGACCTGAAGGAGACCTGGGGGTGGGGGTCACTTTCCTTGGGGAATGGCGCTCAGGCCTGACGGAGCCCTGACAGTGCCCCAGGTTAGCCAGAGGGACAGAAGCCAACTCACGCACATCTGCCGCGCTCAGGCTGACCTCAGTCAGTGACAGGACAGAGACGACCCTGGTCCCTGCATTTTGGAGGGAGAGACAGGAACAGTGGGAGTGGGAGGCACCTGGCCCCTGCGTGAGCCCCCAGAGCACAGAGATACACTCTCCCCGGCCCACGGCCACGTCTGCTCCCCTGTGTGTGCTCATTTCCCAGCTGCCCTCTGACAAGCTTTTTGGCCTTGGTATTTTCTTTTAACTGCAAATTTAGCATACTAATAAGGTCGCTTAAGATCCACCGCCTCCCTGGTCTAGTGTTATGGTTTTCAGACCCCACTTCCCTTGAACTTCCCAGGGTTCTCCTGTTCTTGTCTGAACACGTATTCCCCACTCCTGGTAGGTTTGGGTCAAACATAGGTTCCCAACCTTGAAAATAACATCGACACACACCAACCTATGAAGTCGGAAATGCGGCCAGTGTCTGGGTAGACGTGTCTTCAGCTACAGGGTGGAGCAATGGTATCTGCCGCATCTTGCACCCCTGCACGGTCTGTCCTAATTAACGGCTCATAGCAGATCCCTGTGCCTTCACCATAAGGCCCGCCCGCTGCCCTGCAGGGCAGAGCTGCAGCTGGTGTGGGCAGCCCATGAGGTGCTCTGGGAAGGGCACCTTTTACACTTCAGGCTAGATGCCCCTCGCTCAGGGTGGCTGCAGAATGCTTTGGAGTCTGCAGGCAGTCAGTCAAGCTGCCTGGCTTTATTCCTGCCCTCCCCTCCGCCTCTGGTCAGGTTGAGTCTCCGTGTTTTCCTCTGCAGACAGCGTGAGGGTTGGTGGCACGCTGGCTCTGAAGCCCCTGAGCTCCGGGCAGGGTAGGGTGTTCTTGGGGTCATGCGCCCTCAGCACCACTCCCGATGTGGTCCAGGGTCAGGCGCCAGCACACGTCAAGGTGGGCACAACCAGGGGACAACCAGGCCACAGGAGGGAGTGGAAGGAGGTGGGAGGGGCTTCCTGAGGTCTGGAGGTGGTGGCCTGAGGGGAGGATGGACTGCTTTCCTGCTGGCTTTGGTGTCCAGCCCACCCGGGGCAGCGCTTCACCACCACACAGCCCAGCTGCCTCGCGACATGCATGACGAGGACCAGGCTTCCAGGTGAAGAGGCGCACCCTGCTTGGAAGCAGAAAGAGCAGGTGGAGCCGGCAGACGGAGTGGACTCGGCCACCCAGCTTCTCATCCTTGTTCTCTGTGCACCTCGGAGGTGTGGCATGGCCTGTGGATGCTCAGAAATAAGCTTTTCCCTCCTTGCCACTTGGAAAGAGGCCTAGGCCTGGGGTTTTCACCCAGCATTAAAAGAAATCAGGTCTAGTTTCGATCTGAACTCGGCCGGTGACTTTGTTGCAAGGAGATGTTGGTTACAGCTGTAAAACTCCTTTTTAGAGGATTTTGTATTCACGTGAGCCAAGGTAGCAGGCCCACCTCCCCCTCCACAGACTCGGGTGGCTCTTCATCACTGGTGCTGCTCCCAGCCCTGAGACCTGGCGGCCAAACCTGCCAGGAGGGCTGAGTGGGAGCCGTGTGCCCGGCTGCTGCAGGGGCTGCTGCAGGGGCTGATCCCGGGCGGCAGCCGTGGCCTCCTCGGGGCGCGAGCCAGCTGGCATCTGTGGGCACAGCCACGGAAGCTCTGAGGCTGGCTGTGTGACTTACCCCGCTCCCCGTTCTCTGACCACCCCTACTTCACCACCATGTCCCGGCCCCCACCATTTTAATGACTGGGTCACATCACTTTCAAAGGGCTCAGCGTGAATGTCTCCCTCACTCCTCTCTCTAGCTGGTTTGCTAAATTCAAAAAGGTTTCCCCAACAGGTCGTCAGACTGGGCTACTTTGATCTCTTATTTCTGAGCAGTCGCAGGGCCTCGGGTGGGGCCAGCCACCCACCCTCCCTCTGCAGGCTAGCACACCCAGTGTGGACTGGGGGGGCCAACGCCTCCCGTGGAAGTCCAAGGAAAACTAGCACAGGGCTAGCTGTTTAGGCAGAGCTTAAAACAAAGGCTTGTACATATATATGTTTATATATAAATAAATAAATTTACAGATGAGACCACCAAGCCTGGGGACAGAGTGCCAGGTCCCCCACCTCTGGATACCCTCTTTTATGGAACTCCTTCTCATGCTTTTAAGATTCTTTTGATAAACTCTCTATAGCAGCAGGTAGGACGCCCCCCTGGACGTGCTGGATGCCCTTCCTCGCCAAGACACCTTCTTCCTTCTTATCAGATGTTGGTCATGGGTTTGAGGCATTTAAGGATTTTTTTTTTTTTAGTTTTTTTTCCCATGACTTTTTTCACTCTCAGCCAATTGTAAGAAACACATGCTCACCATTTGCTTCAAAATCCCGCCATAATAATGCCTCTTTCATTTGATTTCTGAATTGCTGATGTTCATCTCCTGTAAATAGTTCTGCAATTAAATTTTTTGAGAAAAGTAATGTTCACTTTTTATTGGAGTAAATTCTCGTGTTATTTTAAACTCAGAAACATTATATTGACCAAAGAGATTGATGAAGGAGGAAGAAAAACCCTTCTTCCATTGTATGTTTCGTTGTTGGAATACCCTCAATTTCTCTATTTGCTAGAAGTGGACCTTCTTAAGGCTTACATTCAATGTGGGAGTAAACACGGGCACAGATGAGAATGGATTCAAAACTAACAAATGCTGCAGGATTTAGTTAACAGAGGCTCATGCTCCCTCGAGTTCACAGCACCAGTGTGGATGCTGAGTGAGACAGGTGACACCCTGCGCCGCCCAGTGAGGAGTGAGCCATGTCCTCCAGGGGGACCTCGCTAGCCAGGCTCCCTGCCTTGCAGCGGCTCAGAACCGTGCTTTCCTTCCTTCTGCCCGCTGCCAGCTGTCTCACCACCCTGAGGAAACTGCTTTCTCCAGGCCCCGCCCCCTGCCTCTTAGTAGGCTGTCACTGCAGGAGGCTCCCTCCCCCAGACCCCTTCCAGCCCCAGGGCTGCAGCAGGCCACTCCCACCCAAGCCTCCCTGGCCCCAGGGAGTTGGGGCAGGGTTCCGCTGCTTCTCCCCTGCCCAGGTCTGGCCTGGATGAAGTTCCAGGGGGATGAGAGGGAGGAGGTGGAGAGAATGGAGACATTGGACCGTGAATTCTGGTACACCAGGACCTGGGGAAAACAAACCCCAGGCAGTCCTTCAGCCCCACTCCCAGGGTCACCTTCACAATTCACAAACGATTTCAGTCAAAAAAGCTAATAAACTGAGAATACACCTATGGTGCTCCAGTCTCACGGGTGGCATTTCTTTCTGTAACACACTTACAGCTAGGGAATATAAA